GTTTGAGATCGCGCTAAATTCCAGGGTCTTTAATCCCTTCCCCCTAATACTAAAGGCCCCCGCCCCCTCCCCCTAATATTAAAACTGGATTTCGGAGGCTTAGTTTTATATTAGGGGGGGGTTCGGTTCGGTGCATCCACGTATGAGTCCCTAAGCCTTAAACCTCGAGCCCCAAACCCTAAAGCCCTGAGCCCTAAACTTTAAACCCCAAAGCCCCAAGCCCTGAAGCTTGAGCCCTGAGCCCTAAACCCTGAAACCCTAAAGCTCTGCTATCTTTAGTACTGCTGTAATCTTTGGCTCTTTGAAGCCCTGAACCCTAAACTTTAAGCCCTAATGCCCCAAGCCCTAAAGCTTTAGCCCTGAGCCCTACACCCTTAAACCCTAAAGCTCTACTGTCTTTAATACAGCTGTAATCTTTGGCTCTATTAAAACTCATACAATTTTAACCCCCCCCCCCCCCCGCAGTTTTTAATTGACTTCCAATTGTGGGCCCGAAATCGCGAAATCCCGGGGGCCGGGAGTTTTTGTATTAGGGGGGGTTTACTGGTAGGGGGAAGGGATTACTACGTCTAAGGACCCCCTGAACAAAGGATCCGGAGATGCAATTTATGGCAATGTATGGTTTAGGGTTTAGGGGTGGTTTAGGGAATTGCCTTCCAAATCCACGCCGCAACCGCCGCAACCGCTCTCCCCGCCAAACGCTCGTCATCAAAGCAGCCCCAATCTGAAAGCTGAACCTGTGAAGCCCTAAACCCTGAGCCATAACACCCAAATCCGAAAAGCCTAAAGCACCCTAAACCCAAAAGCCGTGAAGCCCTAAACCTTAAACCCAGGGGCTAGGGTTTAGGGTTTTTTTTAGGGTTTAGGGTTTAGGGGTTTAGGGTTTTTGGGGTTAGGGTTTAGGGGTTAGGGTTTAGGGTTAGGGTTTAGGGTTCAGGGGTTGGGGTTTAGGGTCAAAAGTCAAGCCACAAGGCTAAACTCCCACGTCCCCCCGAGAGACGGCCTTGGTAGACGGGTCGTGAGGCGCGCTACCCATGACCCGGCCGAGCATTTCCTGCAAGCTCAGGTCGAAGGGGAAAGGAGGCACCCTTGATGGGGACCCCTACCCTGTAATGGGCTGTACAATGGGTATATAATAGCTATGTTAAGGGTATATACCTAGGGGTCCTTATTAAGGGTCCCTCCTTTGACCCTTGGATCAGGGCTTTGGACCGCAGAGTTCTCCCTGGTCTGAGGTTTCGAGATGCAACTCTTTTGGGGCTTTGGGGTGATAGGCTCGCCCAAGCAAGCCCAATGACACCTTTTCAGAATCCTGAAAACCCTCACAACTGTTAAAACCTTTATAGGGTCCCTTCTGGTTTTGGCTTGTAAGCTGGTGGCACCCGAACACATTCGTCAGGCTGACGGTGGGCGTGCTTGGGCACTTTCGGGTTAGGCTTTTCCAGTGTCTGTCTGGGCTTCGGGACCGAGAATGCTGATTTCACCGCACCAACGGGGAAACTCAGCCAGGGTTGAAGTGTGAAGACACACACCATGCATTCGGAAAGGAATGTGATCATCACAAACGGAACTTGTAGCCTCATACTCTACTCCCTGAACATGGACCCGATGCAATTCACACGCGAACTAAGTCCTAAACCAATCCAGGACTTCTTCCTGAACTCCACGGCAGTCCTTCTCAATCTTCTTCTGTATTGCATGAACCACGTTCCGGGAAGCCTCGCTCTCAGCACCGGACCGACAACGCCCGATGCACTGCGCCCTTGACCCAAAAACGTATATGCGAAATCGATATTCCCATGTGAATTAAGCCTGTCCATCATTTCGGGCAAAGCCTAAACCCTAAACCCCAAACCCTAAAACCTAAACCCTTAACCCAGAACCCAAAACCCTAGCCCTAGCTTGAGACGCGACTCAGCTTGTGCATAATCTCAGCTCGAGATCGCCCAAAATTCTGCGGAGGACTAACGTACCCAGACCCCCGGGAGGATCTAGAAAGTAGATCCCCTAGTTTGACGCTCTATACTACTAAGGGTACTTTATAGGAACCCCCAGTTGAATCCTCCCCGGGGTCTGGGTAAGCGCCTCAATAAACAGAAAAAAGGAGATGGAGATTATGAGTCTGCTATGCACTGCGTGGCCACTGCACCATGAATCACAGGGACCCTTTGGGGGGTAGGGGGGAGGGGGGTAGGGGACTCTTATTAAGTCCTTATTGTGGGTATCAAAGCGGCTTTGATACCCACAATAAGGACTTAATAAGAGTCCCCTACCCCCTACCCCACTCCCCCATCCCCCTAAGGGTCCCTATGAACTGTGGCAGGATGACAGTTCCACTCCTGTGCACCGGGCGAGATTGTGTTGCGGACATTTGCCTGAAGCTGTCCAGATCCTCCGACCTTTTTATATGGGCAGTTCTCTAAACTAGGGTCCCTTTTAGGGTCCTTTTTAACGAGGTGCCGTGCCGTACTATGTTGAGGACCTAAAGAGGGACCCTAGTTTAGAGAACTACCCTTATATCGGTCTCCAAGTCTTTCGTAGCTTGCAAAGTCCTTTGTGGCCCAGCGCGCCGGATGAAGGCAAGAAAGCAATGACCTCATAATCATTCCATTTCTTTCAATTTGTTGACGAGCATGGACACTGCCTCCAACCTTTATGCCGTTATGCATCAGTGCATCGTGCCAGGTCTTCCTTACAAGGGCAACCCAGCAGGCACGAAGTACGAAAGCCTCGAGGCGGCAAATGGGCAGACATGGAAGGCGGATGACTAAAGCAAGTTTGTGTCGACAGCGCCGCTGCACAGCACCCATGACAAGCCTTGCTGAATCCAAGGTGATGCCGCCTTTAGAGTTTAGGGTTACGCGATCGTTCTCGTCGGACCCAGAGACTCCAATATCCATTAATTAAGGAAAAGACCTCAAATTATAATAGGATCCCTAGTATGATTTAAGGCATATTCCTTAATTAAGGGATATTGGAGTCTCTGGGGACCCAGAAGCAGCCCTTGGAAAAGAAAGCCTTGCTTGCTGGCAAGCCAGCACAACGAAAACTAGTTGCTGCAGCAAGCGAGTAAGCGGGGAATCTTTCTGAAGATCGATTGCTGAAACTCCATAACTCCATTTTCTAAGCTATACGTATAAATTTAACGAACACAGAAACTCCCACAAGTGTTGCCGACGCTATCTGCAATCGAACAAGCGTTTCTAACCGCATCGAGTAAATAGTTCTGTTTGTTTTGGCTTGCTCCTCATCTTGCGAGTGTCAATGAGTGAATTGCTGGCCTTTCTTTTATCATCATGGATCTTCAAGGTCTTTCGAGGAGCCAAAAGAAACAAAATTGCAGCTGAACCTGTGCGAGTCACTAAAGCTACACTCTAGGGAACAAGCCTGAAATCCCAAACAATTGAACCCTCACACCCAAACCGGTGCAACTACCAAAAGCTCGATACACCCTAAACCCTTAAACCCTTACACCCTAAACCCTTACACCCTACACCCTTAAACCCTAAACCCTTAAACCCTTAAACCCCTAAACTCTTAAACCCTGAACTGTGAGTTTGTGCCTGAGGGCCGCACATTTGCCTGCTCACCGAGCTCCTTGGCTTCTGCCAGCAGCTTCTTCATGGCTTCACGTCCTTCAAAGGGTAAAAGGAGGGACCCTTACAGGGTTACTATAAGGGTACTGTAGGGTTACTATAAGGGTACTATAGGGGTTCCTTTCAAGGGTTACTATAAGGGTACTAGGTTTATCCAAGGGTAGAAGGAGGGACCCTTAATAAGGACCCCTAGGTATATACCCATAATATAGCCATGATGTACCCATTATATGGCCCATTATAGGGTAGGGGTCCCCATTAAGGGTCCCCTCCTTGGAGTCCTTGAGGGTTTTGGGTTCGGGGGTTGGGGGCGTCTAGGGTTCAGGAGTTTTGGGGGTTTCGGGTTTTGGGGTTTAGGGTTTACAGGGAACTCCAGAAGGTTTGAATATGGTTTCATGGTAGGATACCCTTTAATTTACCATAGAAGGGCTAGGATAATCACATTCCAACTTTCTGGCTTTTACCGTATAGGGGTTTAGGTTTAGGAGATAATTTAGCAGTCAGGCTCGACAGAGTCAAGCCCCGAGGGCTTTAGGGTAGGAGGCAACCGTTTCCTCGGACCCTCCAGGCAACGCCATTAAGTTCCCACCTTTGTGCGAGTGACAATGTCAAGCCCATGTCAGACTTCAATCGGCCCTCCGGCATAGCCCACAATGATCCCATAGAGCGTATGCTTGGAACGAGAACGCATACAATACAACAAAGGTGGCCCATACCCCAGCCAAAATCCAACACCACGCAGGACACCTCTCCTGACTCGCGGCTCAGCCTCGTATTTCTTCTCACACGGCAGGCGTAAGCATGTGGATACAGGAACGAACGATCAACACTGCGCAGCAGCGTTGCCGTTTCGGCGACTGTAGTTCGGGTCTCTTCAACTCGGAAGTCACCGACCGGGTCTCTACTGGCGCCGTAGCTATCCGTAGCTTACGATTTAGCAGTTATATGGGTTTAGGAATGAGGTTACAGCTGATCCCCAAACCACCCCTATGCCCTGAGCCGTGCAGGAAGGGCATCAGATGCCCATGTCCACGACTGGTGCGACTTCTCCTTGGTGCTTGTTATGGAATTTAATTTAAGCTACCAGAATAGGCATCATCTATAGTTTATGATATGTTTTCTTTGTTTTGGTACCTTAAACTACATCCCCCCATATACCCTTAAAGGAACCCGTATATTTCCCAGTATGTTACGGTAAGTTAATTGCCTTAACAAGAACCCAGTCTCCTTCGCGAGCGATGATGTTGTCCTCCAGGCCTTCTAGGACCATCTTGTTCCCTTTCAGCTCCATGAAAACCTGTAGGACCACCAAAAAAGCACAGGCAAAAATTAAGGATAGGGATGTTCCATACAAGCCCCTTAAAATGAAGCCGAGATGGATATCCACATGAAATGCTTTGATGCCTATATCCATTTTGGGTCCCTTAACCTGGCTTTCCGAAGTTTCACAAACAAGGGGTGCCTTGTGCTAGGCCAGTGGGGGTCCGTCTTAGGGAAATTTCTGAGAACTCCTGCCTTCAGCGTGATCATATCCCTGGCCATGGCCTTGCCTAAGTGGCTGAATTCATACGCCAAAAAAGTGTACACTTTCAGTCTTGTAGTGGGTACTATTATCCCGAAAAGTGCAAAGTGTACCCACTCCAGCCACTAAGTTGCAGTTGTCCTTGGTCGCCTCGGTTAAATTCTCGCAAACTGCTGCTTCCCCAGCCAGGTCGATGATCTTCCGAGCTTCGAAGCTCATGTCATCGGCTGTCATGAAAATTGAGCCTAGTTCATGGTTGGGATAGGATTAAAAATTTACATTTTTATTCCTTATTGGGTTTAAGTCCCATAAACACGTAAAATGTTACCCAACTATGACAAATGAGCGAACGTAGTTCTCGTGGTCTTCTGCCTCTTCTGGGCTCAGGTGATTCCGGCCGCGGCAGTGGATGGGAAGCTCGACTTCCTCTGCTGTCTGAGGGTCATAGCCGTTCTCCTGAAGCAGAGAGATGCCGAAGAATGTCTTGAACCTGTCCACCATGCCCATCTCTTCGGGCGTTGCGGGCTCTTCGACTACGGTGGGCTCTTCGACTACGGTGGGCTCTTCGACTTCGGTGACATGTGTGTTCGGGAGAGGATGAGATGAAATGGGATCGGTGCATCCTGCTCCGGTAAAGTCCCTTGCCAGCTGCCGAGCATTCTGTGCGGTGAGAGTATGGGGCTGGAAGGACTGCTGCTTCAGGTCGACGAACATGATTCCTCCTTTGTTCCTGTCCCCGCCTCCTCTGAACATCGACGGATCCCATCTCGGAAGCTTCAGAGGTTGGTTGTTCCTCTCGTTGATACAGAAGATCCCCACATAGTCGGCTGATGAAAAGATTGTGTTCACCACAAAGTCGCCACCAAGCTTCAGTGTGTCAATCCCCTTGTCCACTTGCTCATGTCCTCGAAGCAGCCTGCAGGGCCCTTTCGGTTCCCCAGTGGCCCCAAGCCCTAAGCCCTTTTTATAACAACGCGTATCCTTTTTTCCTGATGGCCGTGATTTATTTAGACGGAGACCCCATAACACAAAGAGCATGGGGGGTCCTACTGGGAGACCTAGACCTAGCCCTTCTAAGCGCAGTAAACAGGCCTTGAATCGGAATCCTTTGCAGAAGCAAATTTAGGTGCCTTAACAATTACCTGTACTATTTTTGGGGGGTCCCGTATTATAACTACAGTATAATGGGACCCAACACCCTGTTCTTACCATTAAGGCCCCTATATTAGGTTAACCCGGTTCATCTCTGACTCCCTATAGGGGGACATCGAAAACGGAGAACCCCTATCCTAAACCCTAAACCCCACAGATCCCTTAAAGTCCATTAAAGGAACGCTTAAGGATCCCTGTTAAGGCCGCTACATTAAACCCTAAACCCTAAACCGGCGAACCCAGGCATGGCGGCCTCTTGAGTCCGTGTTCCTGCAAGAACCTTTTTGTGACATCCTTCCCGTGCTTCTTGATGCCCTCGCCCCTCTGGGAAGGTTTCCATCCTACTCCTCCGTGTGGATCTGACCAAACCTAGGTTGACCCGGTGAAAACTCTGAAGCTTTTGCTTCAGCAAGATCCTTCAAGACCAATAAGGCGAACTAGTTAGGGTTTAGGGTTTAGGTCCTTTAAGCGCTTTGAAAATGGTATTTACGATTATGGTTCTCTACAAAATAGCAGGGGAAATTAAAACAGACCCCAAAGGACAACCCAGACTATGAAACATCCTAAAGGCATGCCTAGAAGCCATTCCCGACCCAATGTCGTAAGATAAGCACCGCTGGAAGTCAGCTTGCGCCCCCGAGCACTGGTTAACAAAGGATGGGGAGAGCCCCCCGTGAGTTGCCATGAAGAGCTCCTAGGTCGGCGTTTTAAAACCTTCGAAAACTATTCATACATAGGATCCTCTTGAACCCAACAAAGGAAAATTACAAAATGTCCCAAAAGCCTGCCCAGGCTCTTTGGCAACGGCCACGAAGGGTAGCTTCGCGAAGGCATTGTTGAAGTCATTGTACAAGCTCTGAGATTTTAGCTTGTACAAAACCTCCTTGTCGAAACCGTAATTGGAATTCGCCTGCTCACTCTCGTGGTTGCCTTGAAGCAGGATTATGCCATCGGGGCAGAGAGCCTTATAGGAAAAGAGGAGCGTGGCGACCTCCACACTTCGTTCACCTCGATCCACGTAGTCGCCCATGAAGACATACTGAAGCTTCGGGTCGCAGATCAAGAGCTTGGATTCGGGAAGCACCCTGTGGTCCGCCTTCCCAAACCCTAGACCCTAAACCCTAAACCTTAAAACCCTAAACCCTAAGAAATAAGAAACCCTAAACCCTAAACCTTAAAACCCTAAACTGTAAGAAACCCTAAACCCCTCAAGGTACTTAGGACCCCTAAGGGGTCCACCAGGAACCTCGCCTTCCCCTGTTCCTTGATAACACGGAGGAACGCGATCAAGTTGAAGAGCTGCCCGTGCAAGTCTCCGATGACGACTGCTGAATCCGTTGCCTTCCTGGGTTCTTGGTAAGGGATTTAATTCAAGCTACCATAATCTTTAATACTAATAATATAATTACCTTTAAGGCATCTAAGGCTTCCTTTAAGGCTAGAGGGATTTAGTTTAAGTTACCAGAATACGGAAACGATATCATTTACTACAAATTCCTACTATGGCAACTTAAATGAAGTTTCTTAACCCCTAAACCTGAAACCCTTAAAGGAACCCTATATTATGGAAAACTTAAGAATGAATTTCCTTAACCAGAACCCAGCTTCACTATGCGAGAGTAGCCCTCAGAGTCAAGCTCAGGCTGGAGCACGTTTTGCGTGAAGGTCCGCAGGAAGTCGTGCATGTCAACCTCATTCCTGGGTTCTTGTTAAGGAACTTAATATAAGTTATCATCATAGGGGATCTGTAGTAAATGATATGGTGATATGGTTTCCATATTATGGTAAGTTTAGTTGAATCCCGTGACAAGCGCCCAGATTCATTCCCGGCACTTCACTGTAATGGCTTACCTTGGTAAGCGCCGTCTCTTCCATACTCTGCACGTACATAGCCGCGCCCTCCCGCACGCCTTCCCAGTCCAAGTCAGACGTAGAGGCCGAGCGGACAGAATGGACATTGCCTATGGGAGATAGGATTAGGGGGACCCTTGGGGACATAGACCCTCTCAATAAGGCCCCTTCCAAGAGAGCCAGAAGTAGGGTTCAGAAGGGGTACCCTTTAAGGGGTCTCCCTAATAATATTACCTAGCCTATGCAGGCCGCAAACACCACAGCAAGAAGCTTCCATGCCATGGCGTGGCAAAATGTAGGTTGCGCAAACGAGTGGTGCGTAAAAAAACAGCTTGAGCCATCGAGGTTTAAGGAAAAAGTTCAGCGAACATTCACAAACTACCCGTAGGCTCCATAGTAATTCCTTTTGGGGTTCACATTTAGAATCCTATAAGGTAATCCCAAAAAGGGACTGCTATGGAGCCTATGGGTAGGCTGTCCGAAACGATACCAAGTATGCTACGGCAATACTGCTTGGAGGGTGGAAGGTCGGGGGACTTAGTAACTGGTTATTTTAGGGACTTATCCGTACCATAACCCCAATTAGGGTCCCTTTTAGGTACTTATAAGTCTACTTACTACCTACTTACTAAGTCCCTGAACCCTAAACCCTAAACCCTAAACTAACCTTATAGAGCCCTTTAAAGGAGCCCTTAGAATCCCCTGGAAAGGAGCCCTTACGAAGTCCCCCGACCCTTCAAGTGACAATCCCGAGGCCCGCCTTGCAACGACGGGAACCGCTGAGGTCTACGTGGGTGTTTCCGAAAATTAGGGGACACCTTTAAAGGGATTCCTTAAAAGGATCTGTAAGGGTTATATACAGGATTTAGGGTTTAGGGTTTAGAGCTTCCGAAAATTAGGGGATACCTCATTTTGGGTCCTTATATACGGATCCTACTATGTAGGGTGCTAAAACAGAGCCCCCCCCGTTTTCGGAAACTCCCACTTTGGAACCTGCTTCCAAGCGAACCTCCAAGATACGCCGTAATTACCATTTCAGGGTGCACGGTCTTTTATATCGTCATTCACAATATATTTCGGTATCCTTTGAAGTTTAAATTGTGGCACAAGCCACCGGCTAGCCAAGAAATGCTGGACAACTGCACGATAGGGGCCTTAATAATTAGAATAGAGGTTTTGGGGCCCATTATACTTATAACATCTTATAACTATAGTAACGAACCCCCGAAATAGTATAGGTAATTGCTAAGGCCCCCAGAGTACGGCCCCACTGCCTTCGTCCAGTGTCTCGCTGCGGCGGACTGACTTTCGGAAGGCATCGAAGGCCTCTCGGGGAAGGACGCAAGGGTTTACATAGGGTTTTGGGGTTTTGGGTTCAGGGTGTAGGGTTTAGAGTGCAAGACCAGAGTGATGCAGGAACCTGGTTGAGAAACCCTGGCTCGCAAAAGAACGAAGATTTTGGCGTTATAGGGCGAGAGTCTCGTTTATTCAAGCTCCCCTACATTATACCTGTATCCCTAAACCCTACATCTGACTCAGGACTGTGGTTTCGGGGCAACTCTGCCTTGCGATGTAGGGACTGGGGATGTGTGCAAGGGACATCAACGAGCTCGTAGTGCACACATGCGAGAACGAAAGTGCTTCTCCATGTCTAGAGTCTAGAGGCTTGTATAATGGAGACTGCGTCTCTCTGACACCTTAATCCTAAACTCTTCCAAACCCCGGTGTTAATGGAAAGCGCTCTCGGGTTTCACTCCTCAGATGTAAGATTCCGCGGACCTTGCGAGCAATGAGCCAATAATTAAGCAGCAGCATCGTCCCATGCATCCGCCCTGCTCAACAAATGACACCAATCCAAGAGTAAGTGATCGCTGCGGCAAACACTAACCAAATACACGCCACGACCACAAAAGCAAGCACGCCAAGCAAACAACAACAGCCAGTGTGACAAGAACGATCATCTACATGCTAGAAACCCTATCACAAGTATGGCATAATGTCCCCAAATACCCCCAAACTCTCTACGTGTCGGGCTATTGCATATCGACGTAGGCTTTCTCATGCTCTCCCCAAACTCTAAACCCTCACGATTTAGCGTTTAGGCTTTTTGCATCGAAGCCTCTTCGAACTGCCGGGTACCCCTGAAACATCAAACCAAGAACTCTAAACCCCTAAATCCTCCTTGGTGTTGCTTCCTTGTTGCGCCGCTTCCCTCGACTTTTAGAGCTTGCGAGGACCAAATGCAGTTTTCGACTTTTTCGCACGATCAGGAAATCTAAACCATAAACATGACAAACAAAAGGACAAAAGGCCATAGCATAGACAACCACTTGTTGAGCAGGCACAGAGCAACAACAGCATAACCGACACTTTTCTCAGAAACAGCTCCCCAAACTGTCGTGTCTGTACATGTATACCTGTTATGTATTCGCAAACATATGGGAGTTTACGAAGATAGGGGACCCTAAGAGAGCACCCTAAATAGCAGGATCCTGATTTTAAGGCCCCAAAGTTAAGGTAGCCCTATTTTTGGGAATCTCCGATATATCTTTGGAAACCGAGTCGCTGGGGAGAGAATGCCTTCTGCAATCTCACGGGACCCAGCATTGGTTTTCCTAGGATGCCCGGTAACCTAGGAATAAAATTGGGCTCCGTTTTTGGTATTGGGTAAATTTATAAAGAACCTGGGAAACTACAAAAAGGGAATAAGGGTAGTATTGGTTTTCCGTTGGTTCAAAGACCACAAAAACGGCAATCCGAGGGCAACCCGTTCTGATGATAATAGGGACCCAGAAGCTCCATAGTAGTTCCTTCTGGGAACCCCAAAACAGAACTACTATGACGGTTTAGGGTTTAAGCCCCAAAAAGGAACTGCTATGGAGCCTTGGGGAACCCTCAGGAATGATATGAGCAATTTGGCCACATGCCAGTCCAAGGCCCCAGAGTAGCATTGCCTGAGCTCTTGCTAAGGAACCCATAATAGGGACCAGTGATAATCTAATAATGAAGACTATGGCTTCCTCAGCGTGGCAACCCAAACTAAGCCCAGAGCAAGACCTGCAGTTGCTGGACAAATGCTTGAAGACTCCTGACCTTCGCAGCATCCCTGCCAGCTGCAAGACGAGAAGGAGACCAAAAGCCAAGACGGATCGGCAGAAGCAGTCTATGCCTGACTCTCCTGCGAGCTAGAGTCGAAGAAAAGGTCGCTACTAATTCATTGTGGTCGGCAGGTTACTACCCCTTTTTGTGTGAAGACCGTCGTGCCATGCAGGAGCACCTTGCTGCTGCGCCGCACGGGTTCATCTGGGAGTTTCCGAAAATAGGGGGCCCTAATATAGCAAATGGTAAGATCCTTATTATGGGACCCCAAAATACGCTACCACTAATTTGCAGAAACTCCCATCTCTGCCTACACACAGACGGTGAAGTCGCACGCTTCTGCTGCGTGGGCTTGCTTCGTCTGTCATCGCCACAGGCTTTTCGCCCGCATCCTGTGACCGTGAACGCCCATATATGGGTGGTTGTCAAAAATGGGGTCCCTTTTTGGGTCCCTATTTTAATACGGCACCTATTATTTAGGGTACCCGAAAAGGGACCATAATTTTGAAAACTACCCATATTACTGTCTGAGTATGACTCATTGCAAACCTTCTTCAGACTGCCAGGCTACTTGGGATAATCTGGCATGCTCGAAAACCTGAAAACATGACTTGGTACACATCATATATGTACGGGTTTGAAGAACTAGCCATACTATCCCCCCTGAATGTCCCTATATAACTCAATCATCGTCTACATATAGGTATAAACAAATATGTGCATATATATATACATATACTATGATATACACCGAAACCCTGTTCGAAATGGGCTTGCCTTGTTCCGGTCCAGGAGCAAAGGGTTTAGGGTTTAGGTTTGGGGTTTGGGGTGTAGGGTGCCTTGTTCCGGTCCAGGAGCAAAGGGTTTAGGGTTTAGGTTTGGGGTTTGGGGTGTAGGGTGCCTTGTTCCGGTCCAGGAGCAAGGGGTTTTTTTTGACGCTCACACTCGCACGCAGCAGGCAAGGCTCCACATAGTCCACAGTATCTCCACTACACTATCTGATAGCCCGCATGAGTGCTCCGATGGATTCACAGTTGCACCACGGCCAAGAAGTAAAGTATAAACACAACACACAACAGC